ACTTCATATTGCTGAAAGAGACATTGAAAATGGCAGAAAAGACCGTCTTGTATTGCAGATACCACCCTCTCCCCTATCCCCCAGCAGCAGCACACAGCGCAGAGAATCTGCAATTTGGAGAGGGAGAGCACAGCAATTGTGAGGCTTTGCATTGAACTCAGTGCTACCTTGTCACAGTGGAAAGCAGAAGGGAGCTGTACTGAGCTGACATCTGCCTACAGAAGAATTTTGATTGGTCCTGGCCAGAGGGAAATTTCCCGTCTCAGGAGTTAGAGCTTGAGTTCCAGCAAGACTTGCTAAAGTAACTGGGGCCCTAAATGAACTTGAGGGGCTGTTTTTGCCACAAGGTTTGCAATTCCCAGGTACGTCCTAGTGTTGAGCTGGGCTCAGAGCTGTGGACTGGTGGGGCATGCAACTTACTAAACACAAGCTGGAGCAGCTAAGGGAATGCTTGAGCCACCCCTTCCCCTGGTCCCAGTAGCAGCCATGCAATGTGGAGAAATCTGTTCACTTGGGAGGAGAGCACAGTGACTGGAGGATTGAACTCAGTGCTGCTATGTCACACAGAGACCTGTCAGGGTTCATCACCTGCTGACTAAAGAGCCCCTGGACTCTTGAGTTGGGAGTTTAGGTTATTGAGGCTTTTCCTTTTTTAAATATATGCTTTTAGTGCTATAAATTTCCTTCTCAGCACTACTTCAGATGTGCCACACAAGTGTTACATTTTTATTTCATTCAGTTCAATTTGCTTTTTGTTTCCCCTGAGACTTCCTCCTTGACCCATTGACTAGTCAGAAGTATGTTGTTTAGTTTCCAAGCATTTGGAGATTTTTTCCTGTTATCTTTCTGCTATTCATTTCTGTTAATTTCCTGTTATCTTTTTGTTAATGATTGAATACTGGTCATATAACACATTCTGTATGGTTTCATTCTTTAAAAAATTTATTGGAATTTATTTTGTGGCCCAGAATGTAATTAGTGTATGTTTTTGTAGTGTAGTGTGAGTGGTTGGTGTATGTTTGATGGGCACATGAAAAGAATGTGAATTCTACTATCATTGGGTAGAGTGTTCTATTTTGTTGGATAGGCTTTATTGGTTGTTGGTGGTATTGAGTTACTCTGTATTCTTGATAATTTTTGTCTAGTTGTTCTATCAGTTATCAAGAGAAGAATGGTGAAATCTAAAACTGTAATTGTGGATTTATTTTTTTCTCCATTTAATTCTACCACTTTTGCTTCAGTTCTTTTGCCGTTCCGTTGTTTGGGATACACATTCTATATATAGAGAGAATATATATAGAATGTATAGAATATATATATATAACATATATATAATATATATATTACATAAATATTGGATCATTTGTTATATTCCTACAGGCCCATGAGGCTCTTTATTTCCTTTTATTTTTTTCAGTATACATTCTTTTTCTTCTTCTTCTTTTTTTGAGAAAGAGTTTTGCTCTGTCACCCAGGCTGGAGTGCAATGGCACAATCTCAGCTCACTGCAACCTCCGCTTCCCAGGCTCAAGCGATTCTCCTGCCTCAGCCTCTCTAGTAGTCAAGAGGCATGCACTACCATGCTTGGCTAAGTTTTTGTATTTTTAATACAGATGGGTTTTTCACCATGTTGCCCAGGCTGGTCTGGAACTCCTGAGCTCAGGAAATCCACTCACTTTGACCTCGCAAAGTGCTGGGATTACAGGCATGAGCCACCACACTTGGCATCAGTATATATTCTTTCTGTTGCCCAAATTTAGTAAATTCTATTGTTTTATCTATCAGTTAATTGATTTTCCCTTTGTCCTCTCCATTCTGCTGTTGAATCCTTCCACTGTTTTAAAATTTTAATTTACTCTATTTTTCAGTTCCAAAAAATTTATTTGGTTCTTCTTTATGTTTTCTCTATCTTGGCTGAAACTTTCTATTTTTTGCTGAGACTCTATTTTTAAAAATTTATTTCAAGCATATTTGTAATTGCTTATTGAAGCATTTTTGTGGTGGCTGCTTTAAACTCTTTGTCATATAGTTCTAATATCTCTGTCATTTTAATGTTAGTGTCCATTAATTGTTTTCTTAAATTTAAGCTGAGATCTTCCTAGTTCTTGGCATAGCAAGTGGTTTTCAAATAAAACCTGGACATTGTGGGTATTACGTTATGAAGCACTGGCTCTTATTTAAACCTTACATTTTATCTGGCTTTCTTTGACACTGCTCTGGCAGAGTAAAGGAGACATCCATCTCATTACTGCCAGGTGAAGGTCTAAGTTCCTCACTTGACCCTTCAACCCCATCTTAGTAACATAATGTAATCTGGAACTTTATAAACTTGGGGAATTATTATATGTGCTCCATTTTTGAAGATTTTCATGGAGGACACTTTCAGACATTTTCATATGACAATATTTGGACACATAATGAAAGTGTAACTATGATGCTTGTAGAATAAATTTCTATTTCCAACAGTGCCCAATTAGCAGCCATCGGGGATCCTAGAGGGACATTGGTCTCTAGATGGCTTTGTTCATCTCCTAATAATGTCTGGTGTGTCTAGAATCTGCCCATTGGTCCTGGTGGATCCTGACTGGTGTCAAGAGACAGTCCAATGTTAAACATATGGTAAGGGAAATTCATATCACTTTTATTTCTGCTTTCAACGGTGTGGGTATTCTTCCCAGTCTGGAGAGATCAGGGAGTGCCAAACTCAGTGTGCTTGCATGCACTTTGGAAAGATACTATTTATATACGAGACGCCAGTTTAGGTGAGGATGTTGTCTCCTACCCTGCCCTGGAGTGTTTGCCCAGCAATTACCCTCTCCTGTTGGTGTTGGCAGGCTCAAGAGGAGGATGGTAGTCTGGGAGGCCCAGGGCCTACAAAGAGCGTGAAAGCTTTTTGGAATTCCAAGTGATCTCACTCCCAGGTTCCAGCAGGATGTTGGGAAAGTATGCTCTTTCCTTTCTTTCCCAGGATTTCATCAAGCAAGATGGCCATGAAGCTATCACTTTCATTTATCTCAGTTTAGGAAATCTCTGAATTCATTGAAGAATGATGCTTAGCAGGCATGATGCACATGTTGAACTTTTCTCTGGTACAAATTAGGGACATCTCAAATGCAAGTGTTTATTTTCTTACACTTCCAATGGCCTAGAACAGCATCTTGGTTTTTTGGAAAGCAGGGGCTAGAGCTCTGGTTGCTGTGAGCTGCTTGGGGTGAGTACATGGCCTTAATGTGTTTGGAACATCTTTCCACTCATTTGCTGTAAACTCAAACAGACTCTGCTCCTCTTCAATCTGATCTCACACACTGAAAAGAGTAGGAGTATTGGGCTTGGCTAAATTAGACAGAGATCTGAGATGAACTTTAGTTGACCAGAGTGACAAAAGCTCACCTAAGAGAAGTTTATGAATTCAAAGGATGAAAAATAATATTTATTTTGCCTAGGTGGACAATAGCAGGGAGCATGAGTCAGAAAATAATTGCTGTGTTCAAATCATACAACCCTTCTTTTTATATTGTGGTTGTCATTCCTTAAATATATTTGCACATAAAATGAAAGTGTAACTATGATGCTTGTAGAATAAATTTCTATTTCCAACAGTGCCCAATTAGCAGCCACCAGGGATCCTAGAGGGATATTGGTCTCTAGATGGCTTTGTTCATCTCCTAATGATGTCTGGTGTGTCTGAAGTCTGCCCATTGGTCCTAGTGGATACTGACTGGTGTCAAGAGACAGTCCAATGTTAAACATATGAGAAATAGTATTTATTCTACCTAGGTGGACAATAGCAAGGAGGATGAATCAGAAAATAATTGCTGTGGTCAAGTCATACAACCCCTTTTTTTTTTTTTTTTTTTTTTTTTTTTTTGAGACGGAGTCTTGCTCTGTCATTCAGGTTAGAGTACAGTGACATGGTCTTGGCTCACTGAAAATTCCACCTCCTGGGTTCAGGTGATTCTCCTGCCTCAGCCTCCTGAGTAACTGGGATTATAGGCATGTGCCACCATACCCAGCTAATTTTTGTATTTTTAGTTTCACTACATTGGTCAGGCTGGTCTCAAACTCCTGACCTCATGATCTGCTTACCTCAGCCTCCCAAAGTGCTGGGATTACAGGCGTAAGCCACCATGCCCAGCCACAACCCTTCTTTTTATATTGTGGTTGTCATTCCTTAGATATATTTGCACACATAATGAAAGTGTAACTGTGATGCTTGTGTAATAAATTTCTATTTCCAACAGGCCCAATTAGCAACCACCAGGAATCCTAGAGGGACATTGATCTCTAGATGGCTTTGTTCTAGATGAAAGTGTAACTAGTGAACTTGAAGGGTCAGAATATATTCTTCCCTGGACTGGCCACTTAGCATGGCATGAAGGGAAAACCAAATTCATCAAAGGTCAAAATGGCCTAGATAGAGTTTGTCTCTGACTCTTTTAGTCTAACTCACTTCACAGGACTGCAGTTGGGGCCAGAGTATTTTTCCTATATATGCTATTATGAGCCCCCCAAGATGGAAACAAACTCTAAGACGTGATGAAATGTTTTTTTGGGAGGATGACAGACTTCAATGACCTTAAGTTTTTTTAAAGTTACAAATTTATTTTTGCAATATTCATCTTGTAACTGCATGCCATGAGTGGTATCTTCTCAGCAATGTATTAGATGATCAGATACATAAGTTAAAGAAGAGTTTCTTTTCCTGTTTGGCAATAAACTGTATAGGAAAATGACTAATACTTTTAAAATTACATTATTCTTTATGAAGGCTGATAGCTACATGCACAGTTATTTTGTGCTACATGTAATATAAGTATATTCATAGATAAAAATCATGATGTTTACATAACAAAAATTACATAAAATATAATGTTTGAAAATAAAAAAGTCGAATTCTCACAGAGATATTGTTTTACATGTTTAATAAAGTTCTCCATTCTTTAGTCATGACACTGTAAAATAGTTCACTGAAAGCTGATTGAAGAAATGGAAAACCAATGATGGGAGAAACAACAAACAGGACTGCAGTCCAGGAGTTTATCCTGGAGGGATTTCCTGCTGTCCAGCATCTGGGGAATGTCCTTTTCCTGGTGCACCTTCTGGCGTACCTGGCCTCCATCACAGCAAATATGCTCATAATCACCATCACCTGGGCTGACCATCACCTCCAGACACCTATGTATTTCTTCCTCAGCAGTTTTTCCTTCTGTGAATGCTGTTTTATCACCACAGTTATTCCTAAACTGCTGGTCATCTTTCTTTCAGGCAGGCAAACAATCCCCTTTACTACTTGTCTCATGCAAGCCTTTTCCTTTTTATTTCTTGGGTCAACAATTTTCTTCCTCATGGCTGTGATGTCCTTGGATCGATACTTGGCCATTTGCAAGCCTCTGCATTACCCCACCATCATGAGCCTGAAGACTCGCTTCTACCTGGTCACTGCCTGCTTTGTCATGGACTTCACTCTCATCACTGGTCTCATGGTAAAGGTTTCCCAGTTGTCTTTCTGCAGACCCCCTGTCATCCCTCACTTCTTCTGTGACCTCGGCCCTCTGATCCAACTCTCCTGTTCTGACACCAGATCTATTGAGATATTGGCCTTTGACCTTATTTCATTCATTCTTTTTACATCCCTCATTATAACCATCATTGCATATGGCAATATAGTAGTCACAATTGTACGACTTCCATCAGTCAAGGAGCGGCAGAAAGCTTTCTCCACGTGCTCCTCTCACTTCATTGTCCTCTCTCTGATGTATGGCAGCTGTGTCTTCATATATGTGAAGCCAAAGCAAATAGACAGGCTGGATTCCAACAGAGAGGCTGCTCTTGTGAACACGGTGGTGACCCCACTGCTGAACCCGATCATTTATACTCTGCGGAACAAGCAGGTCCATCAGGCTCTGAGTGATGCTCTGTCCAGAGTGAAATTGTAAAAACAGAATCACAACCTCCCAGTGAAGAAATGCACGTTCTCCTTGATGTAATCTAATCTTTCTTATGTTTCTGGAATCCTTTATTAAAAATGTGCAAATATGGTTTTTTCAGGTTCTGTTTGTTTATTCCTAGAATAAGGGCTAATTTATGTAATAATTCAACCTGAAAGTTCTTACATTATCTTTATTTTGGGATGAAAGTATCTCCTGAATCTTTTACTAGTTTTAAATCAATAGGATTCAACAAATTTTAGTGAAGAACCTCATATACATGAATCTGTTTGATGCATATAGAATTTCAAAGCTGGAATGATGTAGTTTCAAGTATCTACTTGTGGTAAGTGCAAAGGGATGAAGAACAAAATTTATAAGTATTAAGAGTATCAAGTTAGTTCAAGGGTAGATATAACATGATCATTGTATGAAGTTTGGAAGGACGCATATATACACAACTATCAGGATATCAATATAATTACTTAAGATGACTCAGTACAATTGCTTTCAACGTTGAATATTCTGTATATAAATCTTTACACTTTTTGTTCCCACTATGATAAAAACATACAACTGTATCTAGATGAAATTGCAAGTCCTTGTTGGTTTCATTGGTTTGCAAGATTGATTTCAGAGCCCACAGACCTGAAAATGAAGCAGCACAGGGAGAGAAACACTACAATTTTTGGAACAGGAAATTAAATAGTTAATATTTGTTTCCATACTACAGAAAGTTTAAAGGAATTGGGAGAAATATAATCACAGGTGGGAAGAAGTCTGTGACTGTGAAATCTCTCCAAATGAATGTATGAACAAGTCTCTTCATTTGTGGAATGAGAGGTTTGGTTGTGTCACCTTGGGATGTTCATTTTAGTACTAATGTGAAGTGACACTGTTGATACTGCATGTGACACAGAAACATGCTGTAACAGAAATATAATTTGAGAATAACAGAGAGAAGACAATGAGATGTTTTAATGGAAGCATTTATGCTACAACTGAAATTTAGTTATTCAAGATTTTGATAGGAAATGAATTAGAGACAAAACCCTGGAACTAGAATTTGTTTTGTGTAGTTGGTTAATGGTAATGATCATGTTTTGTTCTGACCACATATTTCTGTGATTGTGGTGGAACAGGAATTAAAAGAAATTAAAGACTGTGTAAGCAGAAACTCAGCTGTATGTAAGAAAGCCCAATTCCCCCTGAGAAAGAGAAAGAGCTGGAGTCCTTTAAAAATTAACTGCCTGTTTTTCTGTGGCTAGTGAGCCTTATCTCTCCTCCTTTCTCAGGCATTGTGAAGACCCTGTTTCTCTAGCTGTGCAGCTGCAAGGTCACTAGACCAATAAACTCAAGTCATAAAACATGTTTTTCCTTGGAAAGTAAGAAATGTAATGCATGTCTCAATTAACTGAATAACTCTCTTTGTTTCTTGCATCTGTAATATACGTTCCCCGGCACAGATCTCCCCCTACCTCCCGAAATGCTTAAAAGGTAACTTAACTGTTTGTTCATGGTTCAGTCCCTTAAATGTTAATCTGACTGAGCTGGCACACCTAAATAATAAATATCCTCCTCAACCCCATCAGTCTCTTTGATTCCTTATCAATCCCACTACAGTGGTGATATTAAAAGACTATGACGGGAAAGTTTCAGGGACATAATTATGTAACAATTAGAAAAACACACTTCATTCAACTAGCAGAACCCAAATTTTTGCTCACCCTATGTGTATATAAGGGTTTCCATACAACTTTGTATAGGCTTGTTTCTTTGTCTCACATTTGCAGCGTTCGCATTGCTAAAGGAAATGACAAAGCAATACCAATGAACTGAGTGGTCATTGCTTTTTTTAGCCTTTAAAATGTTTAAACATTAGTAGTCTGATATTGTGGATCATATTTGATTATCTACTTTGAAATAAATGGAAAATATATACAATGTTTTTATTTACTTTTATCTATACATATAAAGTTACATCGCTTAAAAATAATTGCATTGTTTGTGATTAAAACAGTTTGTTTACTACAATTTAGTATACTAAAGATATTCCACAATTTTTTTCATTTATTTGTTGATACACATTTGAGCTATATCTGCCTTTTGGCTATTGTGAATAGTACTGTTATGACCATATGTGTACATGTATTTGTTTGAGTACTTGTTTTCAAGTCTTTGGGGGTATATACCTCAGAGAGAAATTGTGTGGGTAGGGGGAATGGGGAGCATTAGCTTAATGGGTATGGGGTTTCCTTTGGAGATGATATTATAAAAATGTTTTGGAACTAGAGGTGGTGGTTGCATAACATTTTGAATATACTGCATGCCACTGAATTGTTCACTTTTAAATGATTTTATATGTACACTTACCTTAATAAAAAATTCCATAGTTCTGAAAGTTTTACATATTGTTGAAAGTTTTTTTTTTTTAATTAATTTATTATTATTAAACTTCAAGTTGTAGGGTACATGTGCACAACGTGCAGGTTTGCTACATATGTATACTTGTGCCATGTTGGTGTGCTGCACCCATCAACTCGTCATTTACATAAGGTATAACTCCCAATGCAATCCCTCCCCCCTCCCCCCTCCCCATGATAGGCCCCGGTGTGTGATGTTCCCCTTCCCGAGTCCAAGTGATCTCATTGTTCAGTTCCCGCCTATGAGTGAGAACATGCGGTGTTTGGTTTTCTGTTCTTGTGATAGTTTGCTGAGAATGATGGTTTCCAGCTGCATCCATGTCCCTACAAAGGACACAAACTCATCCTTTTTTATGGCTGCATAGTATTCCATGGTGTATATGTGCCACATTTTTTTAATCCAATCTGTCACTGATGGACATTTGGGTTGATTCCAAGTCTTTGCTATTGTGAATAGTGCTACAATAAACATACGTGTGCATATGTCTTTATAGCAGCATAATTTATAATCCTTTGGGTATATACCTAGTAATGGGATGGCTGGGTCATATGGTACATCTAGTTCTAGATCCTTGAGGAATCGCCATACTGTTTTCCATAATGGTTGAACTAGTTTACAATCCCACCAACAGTGTAAAAGTGTTCCTATTTCTCCACATCCTCTCCAGCACCTGTTGTTTCCTGACTTTTTAATGATCGCCATTCTAACTGGTGTGAGATGGTATCTCATTGTGGTTTTGATTTGCATTTCTCTGATGGCCAGTGATGATGAGCATTTTTTCATGTGTCTGTTGGCTGTATGAATGTCTTCTTTTGAGACATGTCTGTTCATATCCTTTGCCCACTTTTTGATGGGGTTGTTTGTTTTTTTCTTGTAAATTTGTTTGAGTTCTTTGTAGGTTCTGGATATTAGCCCTTTGTCAGGTGAGTAGATTGCAAAAATTTTCTCCCATTCTGTAGGTTGCCTGTTCACTCTGATGGTAGTTTCTTTTGCTGTGCAGAAGCTCTTTAGTTTAATGAGATCCCATTTGTCAATTTTGGCTTTTGCTGCCGTTGCTTTTGGTGTTTTAGACATGAAGTCTTTGCCCATGCCTATGTCCTGAATGGTACTACCTAGGTTTTCCTCTAGGATTTTTATGGTATTAGGTCTAACATTTAAGTCTCTAATCCACCTTGAATTAATTTTCATATAAAGAGTAAGGAAAGGATCCAGTTTCAGCTTTCTACTTATGGCTAGCCAATTTTCCCAGCACCATTTATTAAATAGGGAATCCTTTCCCCATTTCTTGTTTCTCTCAGGTTTGTCAAAGATCAGATGGCTGTAGATGTGTGGTATTATTTCTGAGGACTCTGTTCTGTTCCATTGGTCTATATCTCTGTTTTGGTACCAGTACCATGCTGTTTTGGTTACTGTAGCCTTGTAGTATAGTTTGAAGTCAGGTAGCGTGATGCCTCCAGCTTTGTTCTTTTGACTTAGGATTGTCTTGGAGATGCGGGCTCTTTTTTGGTTCCATATGAACTTTAAAGCAGTTTTTTCCAATTCTGTGAAGAAGCTCATTGGTAGCTTGATGGGGATGGCATTGAATCTATAAATTACCTTGGGCAGTATGGCCATTTTCACGATATTGATTCTTCCTATCCATGAGCATGGTATGTTCTTCCATTTGTTTGTGTCCTCTTTGATTTCACTGAGCAGTGGTTTGTAGTTCTCCTTGAAGAGGTCCTTTACATCCCTTGTAAGTTGGATTCCTAGGTATTTTATTCTCTTTGAAGCAATTGTGAATGGAAGTTCATTCCTGATTTGGCTCTCTGTTTGACTGTCACTGGTGTATAAGAATGCTTGTGATTTTTGCACATTAATTTTGTATCCTGCGACTTTGCTGAAGTTGCTGATCAGCTTAAGGAGATTTTGGGCTGAGACAATGGGGTTTTCTAAATATACAATCCTGTCGTCTGCAAACAGGGACAATTTGACTTCTTCTTTTCCTAACTGAATCCCCTTGATTTCTTTCTCTTGCCTGATTGCCCTAGCCAGAACTTCCAACACTATGTTGAATAGGAGTGGTGAGAGAGGGCATCCCTGTCTTGTGCCAGTTTTCAAAGGGAATTTTTCCAGTTTTTGCCCATTCAGTATGATATTGGCTGTGGGTTTGTCATAAATAGCTCTTATTATTTTGAGGTACGTTCCATCAATACCGAATTTCTTGAGCGTTTTTAGCATGAAGGGCTGTTGAATTTTGTCAAAAGCCTTTTCTGCATCTATTGAGATAATGATGTGGTTCTTGTCTTTGGTTCTGTTTATATGCTGGATTATGTTTATTGATTTGCGAATGTTGAACCAGCCTTGCATCCCAGGGATGAAGCCCACTTGATCATGGTGGATAAGCTTTTTGATGTGCTGCTGAATCCGGTTTGCCAGTATTTTATTGAGGATTTTTGCATCGATGTTCATCAGGGATATTGGTCTAAAATTCTCTTTTTTTGTTGTGTCTCTGCCAGGCTTTGGTATCAGGATGATGTTGGCCTCATAAAATGAGTTAGGGAGGATTCCCTCTTTTTCTATTGATTGGAATAGTTTCAGAAGGAATGGTACCAGCTCCTCCTTGTACCTCTGGTAGAATTCAGCTGTGAATCCAT